ACTTAAGCGATATTTTCGGTGTCGATAACTTCGGCGACTAAACTCCCTACTTCTCGTTAACGACAGATTCACTTACCCTGTCGTTTGCACAGTCGTTGATGACTGTATACCTAACGTCATCAACCTTGCAACCAATCGTACCCTATTTAAAATTCAAATAAAACAAGTAACAAGTGAAAAAAGCGTTAAGTTCGGCCGGGCCGAACTTTGGATACCTCCACCGTGCTTGCGGATTATTGTCAGGTTTGAGTTTTTTTATCACGATATCTTTAGTAGGCTTAATGATTACAACATATGGCTAAATCGTCTTTGTAGGGTAAAAACTGACTATTCCCAGTAACGACTACCCCTCATATTATGGCCAAATTACAGCGTATTCGGTTGATAAACGCGCTCAAGAACCTCAAAATAACGAAAATTAGGGGAACCTTTATATGGGGACTACCAGAAAAAATTGAACTATATTTATAATTTTTAGTGGAGAGATTTGCTACCCAATAAGAACTCAGAGTACCAAATTTCACCGAATTCGGTTGAAAAACGCCCTCAAGAACCCCAAAATACCGAAAATTGGGGGTACCCTTATATGGGGGCTACCCGAAAAAATAGACCTATATTTATAATTTTTGTGGAGAGATGATCAAGAATATATACTTTATAGGGTCGTAAATGATTATATCGATGAGTTACAAACGGAAAACAAAATATACCCCCATACTGGAGTGTATAAAAAAATGTCAGTCGGTGTTGCCGACAGGTATATACCCCAGCCTATGGTTTGCGTAGGTCTTCGGAATTACACACAGATTTTATTACTAACTTTATATAAGAAATATGTTTTTATCAAACAGGTTTCGGATTTAATTTTGATAAAATTTTATAAAATATTGACCATTTGTGAGTGTGGTCTAGTGGACCAATGGGTCCCATCTTCAAACTTAATCTAGACTTTGTAAAGATAATGGGTTGTGCAAAGTTTGGTTCATATCGGTCATTCCAATCTTTTGATATTGGATTTACAAATATAGATATTCAAACTTTATCTAGGTTTGGTTAAGGGAACCCCCCCCCCCCCCCCCCATTCACGATTTTAATTTTTCAAGATTTTCAATGGGCTGGTAAATGAATACAAATGCTTGTTAAGGTTTGTAACTTTGCACATATATAATTGAAGATTTAAAAGAGAAGAAAAATAATTTACAAAAAAATTGTGTTATTGTTTTGTTGTTGTTTTTTGTAATTAAAGAAAAGTCCTTATTTTTGATGGCGGGCATGATAACTCCTCACTGGAACATCGGAATCCGAAAACTCCAACGGTGTTAGAAAGATAACATGTCTGGCTCTCGTATGAACTAGGATTATTGACTTCGCTCTAAAATTAACAAAATGGTTAACCTTTAAAAAAATATTTTTGGAAAATCGCCGATTTTTTACCAAAAACCAAGTTAAAAAATAAGGAAGATCTTCACCGATGGGCTTTATCCTAGTTCATACGAGAGCTATACACTCCCAGAGAAACGTTGCAAAATTTGGAACCGATTGGATTATTAGTTTTTAGTTATCGTGCCCGCCATTCGCAAAAAAATGTTTAGAGAAAAACGCGTTTAAAGTTTGAGAAGCCCTTCAGCTGTCACTTGATGCTGACACAATAAATCGGCTATATCTTCAAGAGTTCTTGAGATTTTCACTTGAAATTTTGTAGAGACATTCTTTAATCAGTGTAGATTTGAATTATATCAACAAAAATGTTGACCCCGAAAATGGGGGGGTCCCCCCTGTATGCCGTACAAAATTAATTTCAAATCGGACATTCCAATCGCCTGATATTGGATTTTTATATATTGAAAATTATGCAAAGTTTTGTTCAAATCGGACATTCCAATCGCCTGATTTATTTATAAATTTTGACCCTCTGTGGGGTCCAGATGGTGTGGACCAATGGGTCACATCTTCCTACTTGACCTAAAACAAACAACAAAATTAAAATTCATTGAAATATGAAACATCTTTCAGATATTACTTAAAATATTTCGTCAATTGCAAATTAATCTGGACCATCCTAAAAGTAAAACAATGCACCTAAATAATTGTATATTCAGTCGTACTTAACTATTTAACCAAGATTTAATCCTAAATTTTTTATGTAGATGTTCAGAAAGAATTTTCTATTTGTTTCTGTCAATATTTCATAGTACACTCGATTCAGACTATTTATGTTTTGTTCTCATATTTCGAGAAGGACGACATTTTCGACGACATATCATGTGTTTAGTCATGAATGACAATTCCATAAATTTCGTCAACGAAATTGTCATGCAAGAGAGTATTTTCTACTGGGTTGCGCCCAATTAACATGGAGTTTGACAAACATGAGGAGTTTGGTGCACCATTTACATAAAATCGGACGAAAATATATATGGAAGCTATATACAAATCTGAACCGATTTCAACGAAACTTGCCACAGGTAAGGTTTTATCAACTTCAGTTGTTTGCCTATGGGCCATATTTTGGGTCATTGGCGTATCAATAACATAGAATCTGAGGAAAATATATGATAGCTATATCCCAATCTGAGCCGATATCAACGAAACTTATCACACGTTAGACGATACTATCTTCAGTAGGTTGTGCAAAATGTTGTGCCTATATTTTGGGTGCTTGGTTCATCATTTACTTGAAATCGGCCGAAAATATATATGGAGCTGTACCAAGATCTGAACTGATTAAAAAAACTGGACTGTACGTTAGACTGAGCTAACTTAAGTACGTTGTGCAAAATTCGGTGCCAATCGGTCTAACTTTGGTTCTCAGGTGCACCAAATATTTCAAATCGAACGAAAATTTATATTTTAGCTTTGTCTAAATCTGAACCAATTTTCCCAATTTCAATTCAATTCTATGAAAATCGGACGCGAATATATATTAGAGCTATATCTAAATCTGAAACGATTTTTCCCAATTTCAATTGTTCGCCATATCAGACTTCATGTTGTGTAAAAAAATGCAGATGAATATCTCTTACACACTTTGATTGAAAAGCTGTAGAAGTTCCCCCGTTTCTTGCAAGGTGTGAGTAAAATGAAATCTTAAAAAAAAATCGTTTGCCGTTCTCTTGGCAAACGAGCAATATAAGTAACACATATTTTATATATTAACCCCCATACAACGGTACCCCCAATATTCGGTATTTCGGAGGTGTTTGTGCACGTATGTCAATCAAATTGGCTGCAATTTTATATTTAGGGTGATCATTGAGTAGAAAATCTCCCTACAAAAAACTTATCAATAGACCCCGAATAATGGGGGTATTATTCTGTATACTAGGAGTTTTTGACCGATTTTTAAATGGAATTGACTCTACTATGAGTTGTCATATGCGAACAATTTTGTATTATACAGATTTTTTTTCGAGCATGGACATAACCTTCTACCACACAATGCTGTAACATTGTCCCCATATTAATGCCCCAACCAATTTAAGGAATCTACGAATTGAAAGATATTTACTGTCGATAGTAGATATATTGAGGTATTTGTATTCCAGTTGACCTCAAGATAGAATTTTGCAAAGAAAATATCCTCGTATATTAATTTTCTCTGTAATACCCCCTTTTGTTATAGGATATGTTCATATTGACCAACGATTTGGCATATAACCTCCATTTAATGGTACGTCCTGATTTATCATTTTCAGCGGCATAACAACATTTTAGGCACTTGAAAGAACAACACTTTGTTGCCCCAACATAATCTAATCGATTCAGTCAATGGACTTAAACCACTTTCAAAATAAACGACTAATATAAAGACTCCACCCACTTTCAATTACACGGAAAATCATTCGCTGTAGTATGGTTGGAAACTCAATCTGAAGTGTGTCTTAGGCGTGGGGGCTATACAAAATTATGCCTGACCAAATTTAAAGCCTTTTACACCTATTATACCTAAAACTGTTAAACTAAATGTTTTATAACAACTTGTTGAGCACAACATTAATGTCGCATTTATGATTCACATGACATGTTTAACCTCACTCGTAACTAATGAGGTAAACTTGTTAACGCACAAAATCAAGTTTTACACGATTATTAGTCGCAATTTCAAAATTTTTAATATCACCAATAGGGTATTCCCTTCCATGTGGTCGCCTAGAAAACGGAAGCTGAACTAAAAGCGTAAACTGAATTTAGCCACAATTTTAGCAAAATTCAGACTAGGCCAATAAAAACAACATCCTCTGTTTTCAAATTGTTACCTCCTCCTCCAATATGCAAATGATGAGTTTTATCATCGCTGGACTGGAATGAATGGATTATTCCATATGCAAATGTTTTTCTTTTCATAGCATGCTGGCGAGCTACCTAGCAGCAGTGGGAAGATGTAAAGAAAGAAATGAGCCACAAATAGTTTCTGGTTAATGTTATGCATAAAATCTTTTTTTCAAGGTGACAAACTGAATGAATTCTGTTTATGGTCAGCAATAATATGACGTTATCGACCACAATGCTATCCAGACAATGAATGGGATGGCCATCGTGAGGTATTTTAATGTGATTTTTAGGGATTATTAGGTAATATTTGTTTTAAATAGAAATAGTTTTGTTTTGATTTGATTTGGTGATGAGCTAATGTTGCGTAGAGATGCATCTTATTTTTTGGATGTGGGGGCTTTTGAAACAATAAATTGAATATTATGAATTTATTAGCTCGACCAAAAATGTGAGACTGGTTTTGCCTACCTCGTTTTGTTGGCATCGGGAAACATAAACAATGCGATAATCGTTTTGCAACAAACTGGGACTGTTACAACATAACGGCTGAGCATAACCGGGCTGGAGTTCGGCAATTTCTAGTGAGGTAGATCAGTTACAGAAATGCTGTTATTCCGGCAAACAAATTTAAAATCGTATAAAAGTGTTCGGCTAACCAGAGAAGGGCATCAGTTCAATCATTCATTTCATACAAACAGCATCTTGGGAATCAATCCTCTTAAGGCAATATGAATAAATTCTTTGTAGTTTTGGTAAGTTATTGTTTACAAGCAATACAGTTCTCATGAACCATATGTTTTAACTTCCTTGTTTTCCCTTCTTTAGTGTGTTGCCCTTGTGGCTTCGGCTTCCGCCAAACCTGGCTATAACTATCAACAGCCACAAAAGGTCCAGACTGGCACTGTCTCGGGAGGTAACTTTAAACAACAAATCTTCCGTCCTTCTCAACCAGCAAGTAACAATGCTGTTTTCTCCGTAGTCCAATCTCCTGCTTTGACTTCATTCACCGGTCCAGCTCCAGCTCAAGTTGTAACCCAAACTACTCAAACTGCTCCACAATTTACCCAACAATTCACAGGCCCAGCTCCCCAATTTGTTGGTACTGTTCAACAGCAGCAGCAACAACAATTTGTTGCCCCAGCTGTCCAACATCAACAACAACAATTTGTTGCCCCAGCTGTCCAACAGCAACAACAACAATTTGTCCAACAACAACAATTCGTTGCCCCAGCTGTCCAACAACAACAATTTGTTGCTCCAGCCGTTCAACAACAAGTCGTCAGCCAACCCATCTACACCCAACCCCAACAACAAACCATCATTTCCAAGGACATCTATGTTCACTCTGCCCCCGAAGAAGTTGAAGAAATCGGCAACGATTCCAACGTACCATTGGGTCCCATCCGCAAGAACTACCGCATTGTCTTCATCAAGGCCCCAGCCCAAAACCTTAAATTGAACTTGGAATCCCTGAAACGCGCTCAAGCCTCCAACGAAGAAAAGACCGTCATCTATGTCTTGTCCAAGAAACCCGACCTCACCGAAATCCAAAACCAATTGTCGGTTGTCCAAAACGAACAGAAATCCCACAAACCCGAAGTCTTCTTCATCAAGTACAAGACTCAGGAAGAGGCCAACCGTGCTCAACAAGAAATCCAAGCTCAATACGATTCTTTGGGTGGTTCCACCCACATTTCCGATGAAGGCGTTGCTCCCGTTACATCAGTCATTGGCGGTGGTGTTGTTAACATTGGCAATGCTGGCAGCAACTTGGGTGGTGGCTCTGTTACATTCCAAGGCGGAAACACCTTCGGTCACCAACACCACCAACAACAGCAACAATTCGTCCAACAATCCTTCCAAACCTCCCAAACTTCTGTCGCTACTTCTGTTCCCAACCAGAAGTACTTACCAGCCCAGAAGAAATAAGATGGCAATTGAATTTTTGTTCTAAAAAACTTGTGCCATTAGATGCTGTTACACCTGATAGAAAATAAGCCTACTTTCATTTACTACCAACTTTTTTCTTTGAACTATAGCTTCTCCAACCTTTGATTTTTCGCCTATTTTACTACACAAACTTTCTTCATATTTATGAAAATAATTTATTAAGTGCAATAAACAAAATGTTATACATAATATTTATTTGTTTTCTTTTCGCCTTCATTTCAACATAATCTGATTAAGTTGCAAATTCAAAATTTCGTTGGTTTATATTTGATATTATCATTTGAATCGAAAAATCATTTTGAAATATTTCCATTAAATTAAAAGACGGATGGCATACAAACATTTATGTTGTGTCAGCTGTCGCTCAAAGCATCGTTGCTAATACATTTCTTCAACGAAAGAAATGGGTATTCATTGCTAAACCTGATGAAATTTTTGTTTTATAATCTATTCTAATAAAAGAGTAAAGCGATTGACCGACTGACTGATTTAACGATTCATCAACGCCCAGACGAAACGGCTGAAGCTAGAATCTTGAAATTTTGGGTGAGGATCACCCTTGGTCCAAAGATGACAGATAAGGCTGGGTTTTTCGAAATTCGTACTAGAACCGTACGAAAAGTACTAAAAATATGGTATCATTTGTATTTGGCGAAACAGTAGAGCTAGAAATCTAAAAATTTGGATTGAGGGTCACTGATGGAGTGTAGAATAGATGTAAAGTACAAAAGGACAATTTGAATTTTTTGGAAATGAAATCAGGATCACTGTTGAGGTGTAAGATTGAGATATGTAGGAAGTTTTAGAAATTTGTACTAAGTGTAAATTTGGTATAACTATAAAAATGAGGGTCACTGATGGAGTGTAGAATAGATGTAGCAAAGGACTTTTTGGAAATACGAACTATAAGTATCGGAAAAGTACTGAAATGTACTAAATTTGGTACAATTTCGTAGCATGTGAATGAATTGAGCTAAAAACTTGAAATTTGTAATGCAAATTAAGATTAAGAATTAGGTTGTTTGGATTTGGGAGATCCTATAGAGCGGGAACAATGAAATTTGGAGTCAGGATCACTGTAGGGGTATGGGATTGGGGTCAGGATTCAGTTTACGAAAATAATACTTATGGGTACTAAATGGTACAAAATTTGGTACAATTTGAATTTTAGGTGAACCAATAGAGCTAGAATCATGAAATTTGGAGTCAGGATCACTGTTGAGGTGTAAGATTGAGATATGTAGGAAGTTTTAGAAATTTGTACTAAGTGTACTAAATTTGGTACAATTTGGATTGGATTGTTGATTTGTAGGTTTGGGGTATGTAGGAAGTTTTAGAAATTTGTACTAAGTGTACTAAATTTGGTACAACTTAAATTGTGGGTGAAGCGATAGAGTTGGAATCCTGAAATTTTGATTTAGGATCACTGTAGAGGTGTAGGATTGGGGTATGTAGGAAGTTTTGGAAATTGGTACTACTGTGTACTAAATTTGGTCCAATTTGAATTGTGGGTAAACCGATAGAGTTGGAATCCTCAAATGTTGATTTAGGATCACTGTGGAGATGTAGAATTGTGGTATGTAGGAAGTTTTGGAAATTCGTACTACTGTGTACTAAATTTGGTACAATTTTAATTGTGAGTGAAACGATACAGTTGGAATCCTAAAACTTGGATTTAGGATCACTATGGGGGTGTAGGTTTGTGGTAAGAAGGAGGTTTTAGAAATTCGTACTACTGTGTACTAAATTTGGTACAATTTACATTGTGGGTGAACCGATAGAGTTGGAATCCTGAAACTTGGATTTAGGATCAGTGTGGGGGTAGGATTGGGGTATGTAGAATGTTTTGGAAATTGGTACTACTGTGAATTAAATTTGGTACAATTTGAATTGTGAGTGAACTGATATAGTTTGAATCCTGAAAAATGGATTTAGGACCACTGTGAGGGTGTTGATTTGGGTTAAGTTGGAAGTTTTTGAAATTCGTACTACTGTGTACTAAATTTGTATTGTGGGTGAACCGATAGAGTTTGAATCCTGAAACATGGATTTAGGATCACTGTGGGGGTGTATGATTGGGGTATGTAGGAAGTTTTGGAAATTTGTACAATTTGAATTGTGAGTGAACCGGAAGAATTTGAATCCTGAAACTTAGATTTAGGATCACTGTGGGGTGTTGGTTTGGGTTAAGTAGAAAATTTTGGAAATTCGTACTACTGTGTACTAAATTCTGTACAATTGGGATTGTGGGTCAACCGATATATTTGGAATCCTGGGTGGGTGAATTTTGGCACTGCTGTGTACAAAATTTGGTATAATTTGAATTGTGGGTTTACCGATAGAATTGGAATCCTAAAACTTATATTTTGGATCACTGTAGTGGTGCAGGTTTGGGGTAAGTAAGAGGTTTTTGGAAATTCATACTACTGTGTACTAAATTTGTTACAATTTGAATTGTGGGTGAGCCTATGGAGTTGGAATCCTGAAACATGGATTTAAAATCACTGTCGGGGTCTAGGTTTGGGTTAAGTAGTAAGTTTTGGAAATTCTACTACTAAATTCTGTACACTTTCAATTGTGGGTGAATTAATAGAGTTGGAATCCTGAAATTTGAATTTGGAATCATTGATTGAGGAGGGTACTTATGGAAATAATGTGTGCTAAATGGAAAATTTGTTAAAATTTGGATTTGGGTGAACCTTTAGAGCTCGAATTATGAAATTTGGTACTAAATGGTACTCAAATTTAATTTATAGTCGATATTAATGTGTGGATTGTTTTTCAGACATATGCAGTTTTATCTAAAAATAAAATAATATGTTAATACATTATTAAATATTTCCTACATTCGCTAACGAAGTTGCGGGCATATGCGTTATAAGTGACTGGCTATATATATAAAAGCTAAAGTTAGGTACTTGAAATGTGGCATATGTGACTGGCGTGTGATAAGGCGGGGTTTTTGGAAATTCGTACTAAAAGGTACTAAAAAGTACTAAAAACTGAATTGCGCGGGAATGTTTAGGTTTAAAACTTTGAAATTTGGCACGCAGCTTTCCTTAGGATAAGCAAAGTAGTATGTGTGAAAAAATTTTGGAATATAGTACTAGGAGGTACTAAAAAGTACTAAATCTTATATTTCAATGGAACCGGTTTAGATACATATCTGAAAAATTGTATTTTATTTTTTGGAAATTAGTACAAAGATTGTACTAAATAGTACAAAACAATGTATTACGCCGAAACGGTTGGAACTACACCTCTGAAATTTTTATAAGCAGATTTACAAATGATAAACAAATCAGAATTTGCGAACAATTTTGGAAATTAGTACTAAAAGTACTAAAAAGTATTAAATATCATATTACGTAAATATTGTTACAAATAGAATGATGGGCAAACATAATTTTTGAAATTGGTACTAAAATATATTAAACAGTTATAAAATGTCTAAATGTGAAACTTCGCATATAATTTAACTATTACAAATACAATTCTATGCATAACATTCTTTTTTTGGAAATTAATACTAAAGTGGTGATAAAAAGTACGAAATAATGAAATATAATGGAAGTGGTATAAATAGAAATCCAAAATGTAATATGTAGCTTACTCTATTGCAAGTACAATGCTATGCATAATTCTTTTAAAATTAGTAAATAAATACTGTAGTATAATAATACCTGAATAAATAGAAATCTAAAACGCGGTACATAGATTTAACTATACTGTGCTATACAGTAATATATGTTTGAAATTAGTACTAAAATAATACAAAATATTAATTACTAGCGGGCCCGGCAAACGTTGTCTTGCCTAGCAATTTTGTTGGTGTATAGTGTTTGGCATTTTAGATTTGTTTTTTTTTTTTAACCTACACCGTAATGTATAGTGTACAGCTCTTTGTAATATTTTGATATTTATCAGAGCACGCATAAAGTAACATAAAAGTACTAAATATCTACAACTTGATGTTTATGAGCGAGTCTTGCTGCCATTTTTGAAAAAAAAAATTCAACAAATTTAAATGCACATATAAGTTTGACTTTCGGATTTAAATACCTTTCGGGATTCCGCCCATGGTAGCCTTCAATATTCGGTGTTTTGAAGATCTTAAACACGGTCTTTAACAGAAGTCTTCTAATTTAATATAAGCAATACTTATTGAGCAGAAAACATCGCTACTTGAAATTATCAATATTGGCCCAAGTATCTGCATTTGGCTGTAATTTTATATTTTGGATGATTTTCGAGTAGAAAATGTTCGAAGCAAAATTTGACCAAGCTTTCAAGAAGCCTCCTTTGGGGATTTAGACACGTTTTTCTAGCTAATCAGCTGTAGTTGGTTGTTTTATTAATATTAGTCCACCTTTGTGGGGTTGCACCTAACAGTACCTACAATATTCAGTATTTTTGGTAGTATTTCAACAAAATAGGCTGCAATTTTATATTTTAGATGATCATTGAATACAAAATCTCCTTACAAAAAAATTATAAATATTTGTCCAAGTTTCCGGGTAGCACCAATATAATGATATCCCCCATTAATCTTCCTACAAAAACGAATATATCTTCATTCCCATTGTAGTAGCTGTAATATGTCATTGCGGTATATTGGGGGTTAAGTCACATTTTTGCGAAAAATTCTCTATTTATGTCCAAGTTTTGATAAGTTTCTAATTGAGCTTACTGATACACATTCTTGGTATCGGATATATACGAGGAGTTCTGTTTATAAGTTCAAAGATATTGACAAACGATTAGACATATAACCACCATATAATGGTGGATTTCCATCCTTGTTTTACCCTAAATTTTACTTGCATTCTATGGAAAACGTGAGCATAGAATGATCGCGTGTAAATTCGATTATAAAATTTTCAATTCTTTTTTGTATTCTCACATAAAAAAAAATTCAATGCAATGTCAATACAATTGAAAAAATTAAATATTTTGAAAATGTTCAATAATTGGCAAATGTAGGCTTAAAGGAATGATACACTACTAATTTTCGCCCAAAATATTTCGAAATAACAACTACGATGTGGTGCTACCAACATACTTCGATACCAAATTCGTGGAAATGCAAAATGCTTCATAATATTTTTTGCAAATTTTTCTCGGTTTTCGATTTTTCTCACCTTTTAAACCTTCTCTGAAGCTCCACGAACATTTCAAGATAAGAAATTCAGCCGTTCTTGAGTTTTAGGGAGACTAACGAACAGCAATTCATTTCTATATAGTTTTTTCAAGGCAATGACAATCCAATTAATTGTAGAAAATTAACATATTTTGAGAATTTTCCATAATTGACAATTTCTTAAAAATATACGCTGCCCATTTTCGCCCAAAATATATCCAAAAAGCACCCCAAAGAGATGAAACCATAAAAGTTCGATATTAAATGTGTGGAAATGCTAATATCTTTCAAAATATATTTTGCAACATTTTCGCGGATTTTTCTCACTAAAATCTATCCACTTCAATTACAGACTACTAACAGAAACTTTAAGTCAAATCGGTCCAGCCGTTTCCTTAAAATAAAAAAATATTATTTTACATTTTTACAAAGTTTGTATATTTAAAATTAAAAACATAATCTTGATACAATATTTTTTTAATAAATGATCGGATATGTATTTCATAATAAAAAGTAAGACATGCAATTCATACTGACATATATGGTTTGTCAGTCCAGTCAGTCAAAATTCAACCAATTTCAAACCACATGCCTTTCAAAATGATTTTTGAAGTTCACCGTTTGGAGTACCACATGCGTTCAAGGACTTATTGAACACATGTTTGTGACTAGTTTTGCAATTCCTTGTTTCTTTATTTCAGACACACGAAATAGTGTTTCAAAATTCGCATATGTATTTTTGAAATTATTTCGATATAAATGCCAAATACAACAAGCGAGAAAGATATCCGCCACCATAGGTATACTTGAAATTAAAATATAGCGAATATACCAATACCGACAGTTGTACCAAGCGATTGTTGTAAACCACAATGTACACCATATACAAATTTCAGATGTTCCCTAAAATCTGAAAACCCCACAATGACACCTCATTGTGGGTTGGAACATGTGTTAAATATAAAATACTGCAATTCCATGCTAAATATCAAATATAGGTAGGTATCATTATATAGGGTGTATACCTAAACGCTATAGTTCGTTCTCGAGCCTGACATTTCAGTTTTTTGTCTGGGGACTTTTGAAACAATGAATTGAATATTATGAATTTATTAGCTTGACAAAAAATATAAGACTGGTTTTGCCTACATCGTTTTGTTGGCATCGGGAAACATAAACAATGCGATACATGTTTTGCAACAAACCGGGACTGTTACAACACAACGGCTGAGCATAACCGGGCGGGTGTTCGGCATTTTCTAGTGAGGCAGATCATTTACAGAAATGCTGTTATTCCGGCTAACAAATTTGAAATCGTATAAAAGTGTTCGGCTGACCAGAGAAGGGCATCAGTTCAATTATTCATTTCATACAAACAGCATCTTGGGAATCAATTCTCTTAAGGCAATATGAATAAATTCTTTGTAGTTTTGGTAAGTTATTTTTTACAAGCAATACAGTTCTCATGAACCATATGTTGTAACTTCCTTGTTTTCCCTTTTCCCTTCTTTAGTGTGTTGCCCTTGTGGCTTCGGCTTCCGCCAAACCTGGCTATAACTATCAACAGCCACAAAAGGTCCAGACTGGCACTGTCTCGGGAGGTAACTTTAAACAACAAATCTTCCGTCCTTCTCAACCAGCAAGTAACAATGCTGTTTTCTCCGTAGTCCAATCTCCTCCTTTGACTTCATTCACCGGTCCAGCCCCAGCTCAAGTTGTAACTCAAACCACTCAAACTGCTCCTCAATTTACACAACAATTCACCGGCCCAGCTCCCCAATTTGTTGGTACTGTTCAACAACAGCAACAACAACAATTTGTGGCCCCAGTTGTCCAACATCAACAATTTGTTGCCCCAGCTGTCCAACAGCAACAACAACAATTTGTCCAACAACAACAATTCGTTGCCCCAGCTGTCCAACAACAATTTGTTGCTCCAGCCGTTCAACAACAAGTCGTCAGCCAACCCATCTACACCCAACCCCAACAACAAACCATTATTTCCAAGGAAGTCTATGTTCACTCTGCCCCTGAAGAAGTTGAAGAAATCGGCAACGATTCCAACGTACCATTGGGACCCATCCGCAAAAACTACCGCATTGTATTCATCAAGGCCCCAGCCCAAAACCTTAAATTGAACTTGGAATCCCTGAAACGTGCTCAAGCCTCCAACGAAGAAAAGACCGTCATCTATGTCTTGTCCAAGAAACCCGACTTCACCCAAATCCAAAACCAATTGTCGGTTGTCCAAAACGAACAGAAATCCCACAAACCCGAAGTCTTCTTCATCAAGTACAAGACTCAGGAAGAGGCCAACCGTGCTCAACAAGAAATCCAAGCTCAATACGATTCTTTGGGTGGTTCCACCCATGTTTCCGATGAAGGTGTTGCTCCCGTTACCTCAGTCATTGGCGGTGGTGTTGTCAACATTGGCAATGCTGGCAGCAACTTGGGTGGTGGCTCCGTTTCATTCCAAGGCGGCAACACCTTCGGTCACCAACAACAGAAACAATTCGTCCAGCAATCCTACCAAACCACCTCTACTGTCGCTACTTCTGTTCCCAACCAGAAGTACTTGCCGGCCCAGAAGAAATAAGATGGCCATTGAATTTTTGTTTTAAAAAAACTTGTGCCATTAGATGTTGTTACACCTGATAGAAAATAAGCCTACTTTCTTTTAACTACAATAATTTTTCTTTTTTCTTCGAACTATAGGTTCTGCAACCATTGATTTTACACCTACTTTACTACAAAAACTTTCTTCATATTTATGAAAATAATTTATTAAGTGCAATAAACAAAATGTTACACGTACTACTTATTGTTTTTTTTCACTTCAACATAATATGATTAAGTTGCAAATTCAAAATTTCGTTGGAGTTGTGTCATCTGTCGCTCAAAGCATCGTTGCTAAAATTTCTTCAACGAAAGAAATGGGTATTCATTGCTAAACCTGATGAAAATTTTGTTTTAATAAATATATATTTCGTCTGAGTTAACAGATTAAGTTGAATTCCGTCAACATTAGTCTTAGCTGTTGCACAAACTTAAATATAAAAACATATTTTTTATTTTTTTTAAATATTATTAAAAAATATTAGTTTACATTTTTACGAAGGTTGTATATTTAAAATTAAAAACATAATCTTGATACAATAAGATTTTTTTAAACAAATAATCGGATATGTATTTCATATAAAAAGGGTGAGGCTTGCAGTTCATGCTGACAGATGTTGTTTGTCAGTCCAGTCAGTCAAAAGTCTACCAATTTCAAACCACATGCCTTTCAAATTGATTTTTGAAGTCCCCCGTTTAGAGTACCACATGCCTTTAAGGACGTTTTGTATATTTGACTACCGTTTCCGTTTGTGGCTAGTTTTGCAATTTCTTGTTTCTTTATTTCAAAAGTTCCATACTTTGTAGTGTATAATATATACCCCATACGATGGTGTAATACGCCTATTGGTAGACAACCCCAAAATCGCGGAAGGGGACTACCTCCAAAAGGAGGGAAATATAAATAATTTTTGGCAGGGAGATTTGTTACCAAATACGACTACAAAAAAATGGATCTATCTTTATAATTTTGACTGGAGATATTTTTCTCAATAGGAACTCAAAGTACCAAATTACGGCTAATTCAAATTACGCCCTCAAGAAACCCCAAAATACCGAAAATTTGTGTACCGTTATATGGGGGCTACCCAAAAAAATAGACTTATATTCATCATTTTAGTGGAGAAATTTGCTGTACATTAGGAATCCGCTTGAAAACGCATCTAATATAAGCACAAAATACCGAAAATTGAGTTGTACACTTATATGAGGGCTATGCCTAAACGTAGACCGATATAGCTCATCTTTGAACATGACCTGCATGCAGACTGAAGACAACCCTATGTAACATTTCAGCATCCTATTTAGCGTGATTACAACAGACGGGCGGATAGACATGGACAGATCGTAGCTCGCCCCCCCTTTTCTCGGTTTCAAAAAATTTAATTTAGTTTTTTTATTTAACCTACACTAATTCAAGAATGTTCCTGCAAATTTTCAAAAAATTTCGATTTATTGTGTCAGCATCAAGTGACGGCAAGAGTGATTCTCAAAATTAAAATCCAATCGCTTCCAAATTTTGACACGTTTAGCTGAGAATGTATAGCTATCGTATGAACTAGGATAAAACAAATCGGTGAAGATCTTCCTTATTTTTTTCTACCTACTCATAGCACTGTGGATTCACGCGGTTATAGTATGTACACGTCTGCCATAGAATGCACATAAATTGTTGTTCCTCAAAGTAAAAATGTTGCTATACCACGGGAAATATCAAACCACGTTGTATCATTATATATGGTGGTCGATACCAAATCTTTCTTTGCAAAATTCTATCATTAAGCTCAACAGGAAAGAGAACAACTAACAAAACCAACAAAAACAAAAGCAATCCAATACGTAGATTCCTTAAATTCGTCGGGATATTTATATGGGCAATATGTTACAGCATTATGTAGTAATACTCCGAAAAAAAGTTCAAAATTACAGGCACTCAGGTTGGAAAACAGAGTTAAGAACTTACTGAAAATTAAACGGATAATATGTATGGCGTCTTTCTAAAACGTTAAGCTATAGTGCATAATTTCTAGGAAGGAGTTTTTTATTCACAGGAATCTGTTATGTCAAATTATAGTCCACTCTATGGGAAAATTCGGTCAAAGTATTTATAATACCGAAAATGGGCGGAACCTGTATGTAGGAGCTATATCAAAACTTGGACCTAAATTGAAATGAATATTACCCTCCAATACCCCGCAATGACATATTACAGCTACTACAATGGGAATGGAGATATATTAATATTTGGTGAGAAGATTTGACACCACATGAGAAAATGCCGAAAAATGTAGGTGTCATTATATGGGGCAACCCAGAACCTTGGACCAATATTGATAATATTTGGTAAGAGATTTTGATCATCCAATATATAAAATTATAGTCAATTTGGTCAAACGTGGTCAAACTCTCCAAAATACTAAATATTGTGGATATTGTTATATGTGGACCAATATTGATAATTTTAGAAGGATTCATTCTACCAAATAAAACAACCAAAATACAGCTTATTAGGTTTAAATACATCCCAAATCCCCAATTGTAGTGGAGTGCCACTGTATGAAGGTTATTCGGAAGCTTGGGCGAATATTGTTAGGAACGTTTTCTACTCAATGATCATCTAAAATATAAAATTACAACCAAATACCGAGTATTAAGGGATACTGTTATATGATAGCTACCCGGATAATCTTCAAATATAAAATTAGGCTAATTCTGTTGAAAAGCGTGCCAACAAGCTTCCATATATCGAATATTGGGGATACCGTTCTATGAGGGCTACCCTAAAAAGTGAACCAATATTGAACATGTTCAATACCAAATATCCTAGGCGAAGTATGCGCAAATTTCAAAGCTCTATCATAAATTGTGGAGGGTATAAAAGGGCTACCGTTACGTGGAAATCTTGTTAATAGATTGGGAAAAATTTAATTCAATTTATAAATTTATTTTCCACGAATTCAATTAGTAATGTACGTATATCCACCGAAAGTTTAGGAAACAAGAACAGCAACCAGACTCTCTCATAAACATCAAATTGTAAACACTCAATACTTACTGTAATGTGACTTTATGTGAGCTCTGATATACACTGCGTATCATAACTATAGCCGCACCTTTAATTCAATTGGTATGTTAGTTGACTAATAAAATGGACCCATTAAGTTATGGTTCACAATAAAACGATCAAAAACACATATTATTCAACAAAAATAATTAATTTATTATTTATGGTTCCGCCGAATTCTGCACTTTCAAAATTACTTGTGTTGCATAACTATAGACACACTTTAACAAAATTAGAAAATTTATTTTTTAAAACTTAAATAAAATAAAATAACTTTTATAAATAATGGATAGGGCCTCCCTTATTTTGAATAAGTTCAAAAATTTTATCCATCACACTGTTGATCAAAATTTTTCGCAAGTCTTCATCGCTTGACCGCCATTCATCGATAATCACTTCTTGGAGGTAAAATACAGTTTGGTATTGGCGGTTTTCTGCATAGACACGATGAGTCAAGATTCCACACATGTTCTCGATCGGATTCTGGTCGGAAATTTTAATATTTTTCGATTTTAAACATACTTGAGTATGGCGACTTTTATGAACAGGTGCGTTGTCCTGCTAAATAACGAGCCCTTCATTGTTGCTACCTTCCCAAAACGGCAATAATTTGTCTTCCAAGACTTGAACGTACTCCATTGAATTCATCAGACAACATGGAAATGCCAAATAAAGAATTCCCTGGCTTTAAAATGCTCCCAAGGTCATTAAGGAACCGCCACCGAAATATTGTTTTAAGAAATATCGTGATTCCGTCCGTAGATCTCTACGGTATGTTTTCTTAGTAGATTTTTTCGGACGAGAATAAATTCAATCTTGATGTCCCAGATGGTTTTAGTTGTTATTGGAGAGATTTACGAACTGAATGACGATATTTCTTAAAACGATATTTCGGTGGCGGTTCCTTAATGGTCTTGGGAGCATTTTATAGCCACGGAATGCTTTATTTGGCATTTCCTTGTTGTCGGCTGAATTCAGTAGAGTACGTTCAAGTCTTGGAAGACAAATTATTGTCATATTGGGAAAGCAGCAACAATGAAGGACTCGTTTTTTAGCAGGACAACTCACCAGTTCATAAAAGTCGCCATACTCAAGTATGGTTAAAATCGAAAAATATTAAAATTTCCGACCAGAATCCGATCGACAACATGTGTGGAATCTTGACTCATCGTGTCTATGCAGAAAACCGCCAATACCAAACTGTATTTTACCTCCAAGAAGTGATTATCTATGAATGGCGGTCAATCGATGAAAACTTGCGAAAAATTGTGATCAACAGTGTGATGGATAACATTTTTGAACTTATTCAAAATTAGGGAGGCCCTACCCATTATTTATAAAAGTTATTTTATTTTATTTAAGTTTTAAAAAATACATTTTTCTAATTTTGTAAAAGTGCGTCTATAGTTATGCAACACCAGTAATTTTGAAAGTGCAGAATTCGGCGAAACCATAAATAATAAATTAATTAGTTTTGTTGAATAATATGTGTTTTTGATCGTTTTATTGTGAACCATAACTTAATGGGTCCATTTTATTTGTCAACTAACATACCAATTGAATTAAAGATGCGGCTATAGTTATGATACGTAGTGTATACCAGGTATTGCAAACGATCTGTTCACTCCACCTTATGGTGGAGAGCATAAAAAGAAATCGAAAATGCCGAAAATTATACATCAACGGTATAGCTAAGGCATGACAATATTTGCCGGTCAGCTAGTCCATTTTAATAAAATCGAAATCGTTTTTTTATCGCAATTACGAGTTAATGAAAAATTAAACCTCAATTTGTTATGTTATTTTGATTTGGCAAATATGTGATTTTTTATGCAATGTTTTTTTAATATTTTGTTGGATTTTAATTGACATTTACATATATTTGCAATGAAGGGTTAACAAAGTATTCATCCAAACATCGTGGTTTGTTTTACGAAAACATCGCAAACTACTAAACAAACTACTGATATTTTTCCACCT